AAAAAAAACCTCACAGAATCGCCTTGCCAAAGGAGAAAAGCCCCCATTGGAACCTGCGAAATTTAACAGAACAGAGTGGGGCCCCCCACAGGTGCATGCGGGCACGCGGGCCCCCCCACGGAGGTCCAGCAACCTTACTCTGAGGGCCCCCCTTAAAAAAAGGCGTACTCAGCAGGAGCAGCTAACCCCACCATGACAGGGGAGCAAACTTCACGAGGCGAGTCTGGGGGGGCAGGCAACACGGGGCCCACAAACTATCATCTGGCGGGCCACAAATGGCCCCCGGGCCACATGTTTGAGACCCCTTCATTAGACTGTACAGGGAAGCTGTTGAAATCCACAAACACCAGCACAGCTTCAACAAAAAAGAAGAAAGTTTAAAACTCAACAAAGCTTGGCTCCCAGCACTGAAAAATACAGCCTGCAAAAGGTCAGCAAACTCTACCCAGCCACAAAGACTGGTGATCACTACAAACAAAAGACCAGCTAACAACATCCATCAATCACAGTGACAGATAATCTCTCCTCCTTATCACAACAATACACCCACAACAAAAACACACTGATCGCCATAATCACCCATCTCCTGAAAAGAATAAAGTTGATCCAACAGTTATAAATACAGTACTCAACTCCCAAACAAACTGCAGCAGAGCACAGAGTGCTACTCCTGTCTTCTGAAGATGCCGGCCACAGAGACTGGCGAAACATTAGGAAGAACAACCTTCAGAACACGGCCAAATAGCCCGGAAAACTCACAACCATTAGATCCCGGCTGTGAAAGCCTTCGCGAATATACTTAAGGGGCTGTGTTACCCCACACCACCCCAGTGAGCTTCCATGGCTGAGCAGGGTGTCAAGCTTACTTCCCTTGAGTCCTAGCCGATCACTCTCTCCAGTACACCACACTGGGCATTGTGGTATCAGCAGATCAGCAATATCTTTCTTGAATCAACTTAGCTTTTTGTGAGGAATAGAGGAAGCTAACCCACTCTTCTTCACTTCCTTTTTAAAATTTCTTCTTAAAATCCAAAACAGCCTGCAAGGTTGCTGGTCTGAACAAATAAAAGGAAAATGGGAAGCTATTTGACCTTTTACCCCACAGTATTTTTTTTAAAACCTCAAACTGGTCCTCTCTGGGCCTCTTTTTACCCAGAGGTTGGGGGAAGCAACTTGGAGACAGTGCAGCCTTCATCAGTCCCTTTTCTCTACTCTTGGTTGCAACTTCTGAGCTTGGTTGTACATTTTTTTGAAAATGCATTGGGGAAAGAGATGCAGAACTCCTGAGCCGTATCTTGTTTGGCTCTTACATGTTGCTCCAGGAATTGGTCAGGTGTTCTTCAAAGGAAGTAAGTTTGGAAGGGAAGCTGCTATGCTACAACAAAGCATAACTAAAGCCTACTAACCTGGACTTGTGTACCAGCAAGAGCAGAGATGAGACATGGAGCCCAAGGTCCAGATGATCAGCTGTCTTGCACTGAACAGATGTGGGATATAGTTGACCTATTCCACCCCAAAACAACCCCCTGTTATCCCTACTTTATTTCCAGCATGGCTTACCTTATCAAGGTCATACAGAAAGCCCTAGGAAAGAAAGGAGGAGAGACTGACAGTTAGGTAGAATTCATTAACAAGAAACATTTCCTAAGTGTACAGTTGCATGCAGTGCCAATTACCTTAGGCCATACTCATTGTTAACACAGCAAATAATGGCCTGTGTTTGCAGCAAATGTGTTGTGTGCGTAGGAAAGAGCATCCTGTATTCAATATGTTAACACAGTACCCCAAAGCCCAAGGGAAACCAAGGGTGGGGGATGGGGAAGAATTTCTGCAAAAAATAGCAGGGCAGAAGCAGTTATGTATACAGTATTAGGCAGAAGCGTACCTTTAGGCTCTAAACCCCACAACAACAGCAGGACATGTGCTATCTTAGGACAAGACAACACCTCTCCCTGTTCATGTACAGAAACTAACTGACCTATCTGTTGAATCTTCAACACAGTAATTGTACAAAATCCTTCGTCATGCCTGAGGACAGCAGTCTATTATACGGGCCTGACAGCAGAGTAGTTTTTAAGGGGATGTCACCACAATGCTGTCCTCCAGCTCCTTCTTCGCCACCTTTGCCACCCTCAACATCTGCTGGCTGAGGTGGCTGCTTCATTTTGTCTAATGATAGGACAAGTCCTGAGCCATCAAGATTGCTCCCCCACAACCTGAGTTTTCACAGCTTCTTTGTAATCATCAGTCGTGCACTTTGAGAGGATTTAAGCGCAGTAGGAGGGTTTTTTGTGGCCTGCACTGATCCTTCACTCACCAAGCGAGAATTCCTCTTTGACTCCCGAATCTGGGTATTAAGCTTGTCCAGTTCCACCTGGTGCACTTCTAGATAAGCACTGTAGGAGAAAAGAGGCATGTATAAAAATAAAAACAAAAATATTGTGGTACCTTAAAAACAGATTTCACTATGAGTTTCTGTGGATTCTAATCCACTTTCTTAGACACAGAAACTTAAAAGTAGGTTTATATGAGGTAGCAATCTCAGCCTGTGCATTACATGTAGGCCACAGGTGTATATAGTTCCCTGTCTTAGCATGCTTTAATCAGCTCCCTGTTCATTTCCATGCCAAATTCAAGGTGCTGGTTATGACCTATAAAGGCCTTAACAGTTTAGGATCTTGATACTTGTTGAAACGTCTCTCCCACATGACAGCTACCTATCCCATCCACTCCTCACAGTCTAGGATGCTACATATGGTAACACCTAAGGAGGCCAAAAGAGTTTGCCAGGCACCTTTCCCTCTCAGTTTTTAAAAAACCAATAAAAACAATGTTATTTAAAACTGCTTTTTAGTAGTGCTTTAGCATTGGAGATGCTCAAATCTGTTTTATATGTTTAATTCATTTAAGATATGTTTTTTATTCTGTTTTATTGTATTTATTGTTAGGTCCTTGGTTTCATTTATTATAATGTGATTTTAATGTGTTCGGTACTGCTGAGACAGGGCACACTCTATGGGGCGGTATACAACATGAAATAAAGGAAGGAAGGAAAGAAGGAAGGAAGGAAGGAAGAAAAAGGAGTAAGGAATGAAAGAGAGAGAGAGAGAGAGAGAAAGAACGAAAGAAAGAAAACAGTGCTAGGGTGGGGATCAAATTAAACAGGAAAAAGAGGGTGAAAGCTGCATTGTTAATGAACTTTTAATGTATCAGTAGTATTATTAACAGCTGTAATGAACACTGACAGTATTGATTACATAGACATCTTGCGACAGAAACAAATCAGCTTGATACCAGCCTACAAGTGTAGACAGAGATAGGAAATTGCTGCTGTCAGTTATGTAAAAAAATTATGTTTAGCTGTAGCTCTGCAGAGGACCGCAGATTAAACCAAAGTGTCAATATACATGGTATAGGCCACTATCCCACTACTAGTCTCAGCTAGAGGGTAAACCCACTGAGTCAACTGCTGGATGTTAAATCAACATCTGTGTAAATCTCATTGAGAGATGCTACAAAAGAGTGAATTTCTCACTTAACAGTCTCCACTGCTTAACAGCATTTATATAGCACCTTTCAAGCATTCTGGGGACTTCACTGGAATTACTTCAATAACAATCTGAGGATTATGGTCCATAAAGCTAATTTATCTAAATTCTGGGAATATTCCAGCCAGTCATTCAAGACAGGCCAAGTTCTGCAGGATGTTATTCCTGGCAGCTAGGCTTTCAACAAACCAAATGCTGCTCAGTCCTCCAGCTTCCAAGCATTTTGCATTTTAACATGGGCTGTCTTAACCCAAGATTCTGTTTCACAAGTTTAACTTAATACAGGGACTGGTCTTAAAGTGTGTATACTGTGCTAACTAACACAAATCAGAAGAAGGTGGGGAGAAACAGGATGCATAGGCACACAGTGCATTAATCTACAGCAAGAAATACTGTTTGTACAGTGCAGGAGGCATTAAAGTTATGCCATCGCCATTTACTTGTTTACTTATTAAACTGTTTACATCCTGCCCATATTAAAAATTTTTTTTAGCATACCATCTTTAATGCCTTTGGCCCTCCAGCTGTTTTGAATTCTAGCACCCACATTCCCTTACCCTTGGGTAATGGAACGGATGGGAATTGTAGGCTAATACTGACTGGGAGGGCAGCAAAGATTCTCTATGTCTAATTTTAGTAGCTACAGCAAATTATGGAACTAGTATGCAAGAGAGAGATGCCTGACACAAAGTCTCCTAGTTTCGGAGTGCCAGGGAAGACAGTTTTGTTTACCCAAGCTTTGGGTTGGTAGCTTCCATACTACTTTCTTTCGGCTCTACATGTTGTTCCTCATGATCAACGGTGGCTCTGCTGGTTTTTACAACCCAAAGCTGTTGGGTTTCTGTATTGCCAGTCTGTTTGATTTTCACTTTCTTACTTGCAAGCAGTTTTAAACTCATATTAAAAAGTTGCATGTAAGTACAGTGGTGCCTTGCAAGACGAGCGCTTCGTTTAACGAAGAAATCGCATAACAAAGTTTTTGCGATCGTAAAATTATGTTTCTTATGGGGCTTTTTCGCTTCGCTTCACTAACTGATTATCGCAAAACGAAGATTTTCGCACAGCTGATCGGCGGTTTCAAAATGGCCGCTGGGTAAAAAAAAATGGCCACCCACTGTTTTCTGGGACGGATTCCTCGCTGCACGGGCAGCGAAAATGGCCACGCTATGGAGGATCTTCGCTGGACGGTGAGTTTCAAGCCCATAGGAACACATTAATCAGGTTTTTATGCGTTTTTATGCGCTTTTAAAAATTGCTTTACGATGTTTTTGTTCTACAGCTTTTTCGCTGGAACGAATTAACATCGTAATGCGAGGCATCACTGTATTTTGAATAAATAAACAAAGCATCCCTACTCCAATGATTGGAAAATTTACTTTTTTGGATTTTAACTATCCAATATCCCGTACCTGCACTGGCAGAAAGAAATGAGGAAGTTGCAGTCTGAAAAGGTAAAATTTCCAACCTCTTCCCACCCCAAGCTAAAAGTTGAAAGAAAGTACTTGCTGGGTGGGAAGCAGCATCACCACTTACGTTAGTCCTTTCTTCAGTGCTTCATACACTTCGTCAAGTCGCTCTGGCTGGGGTACCTTGGGTGGAGGGGACTTGTGGGACATTGAAAACATCCTACTGACTCTGGAGCCAGACTTCCTGGAAACTGTCGGTGTGCTGAATGCAGGGAAATTCCTACAACAACAACCAAAAAAAAAAAAAAATGCAAAGGAAGAGGTGAAGCTGGTAGAGTGGGCTGAGACTAACTAAACGTAGTGCTGAGGGAGAGAGATTTCTGACTCACCGTGCAAATGACCCACCTTGGCAAAAACGGCACTTGATGGGCAGCTCTCCACACAACTGTTATGGTGGTAATACCAGAAGTACAGGAAAATGCTCATAAATAATCCTTCGGTATAGAAAAGACATTTCCCCATGCTTTGGGCTTGCAAGGTGGGTCATGCAGACTGCATGAGTTGGATTCCTCTTTGCAGTGCAGGCTGCTGGAAGCAAAGGCATCCAAGGGTGACCATTATCTACATCTCTGTGCAGTGGTGTTTAGAAGTGTACTGCTGAACCCTTGTAAAACCTTGTGTGTTGTGTCAAAGTAGAGGTTAATATGATAGTCAAAAAGGTCAGCCTTAACTGCTCACGTCTTCTTTCCCACCCCCAAATGGTGAATCTGGTGGAGATGGTCTTGTTAAAAAACAAAGGAGGAACTATTATGTGAAAGCGGTGTGAAAATAATCTCTTAGGAGCAGACATTAGTCTTGCAGCTCTGTGATCTGTCTGGGAATGTTACGCTAAGTCTGCTTACAGCACAAGAATAAACAAGTTCAGCGTAAGTCCCCTATGAATGAGATGGAGGAAGAAAAGGGGAAAAACAACAGGAGAGTGGAATTAATAAGTATTTTTGCTCTTATTGGTTTTCAAGTCACTTAGTTTGTGGTGACTCAAGATGGGATTTTCAGAATTGTAACCTCATCCTTCCATAATTTAGTGGGAGCTGTCCAGGCCAAATTATGGGACTGGGAGCCTGCAAATTGGTTGGAGGTAGAACCACCCTCTTCCCTCCATGCTGTTTCTACACCACTACTTCAAACTGGTAGGAAAATGCCCTGCTCCACTGTGGGAGTTGTGGGGATTCCCTACAATCTGCAAGGGTTCACTGGGGAAGGAATTTAGATGGAGGCTGCCTCTATACACTCTTCAAAGGAAGCAGCCTCCACTGGAACTCATTTCCCCATGCACCCTTGCAAGCAGCAACTCCCATGGTGTAGTGTGGCATTTTTCTACCAATGTGTAGAAATGGCATGGAACAGCATGGAAGTATGAGGGCTGCTTTACTCCTGTTGGTTTAAACCCTCCCAATATCACAGAATCATAAAATAGCTGAGTTGGGAAAGGGCTTGGTTCCCACCAAATCATGGGTTTAGTAGTTCATTAATTGCAAAAATCCCATCCCTAATGATGACCCTGTGAATTGGACATGCCACAAAGGTCTGCCATCAGCAGTCCTCATCGGTTCTTACAAATTAAAAGTCATGATCTCCTCTACTGAGTAAAACCTTCTCATATTTGGTCTTTTCAGGCTGCCTCCAACTTTTGCCAGCATTACTGCTTTTTCCAGTTACTGTAGTTTAATCTACTCACAAGATGCTCAAAGTATATATGTGTGTTCTGGCTTGACTGGAGAGACCATTTAGAACCTGTCCACACCGTGAAATCTGGTGCAACCCTGCCTGTGCTTCAGTGCAATTTATGCACCTCAGGGCTTGGTCACCCTGCATGGATTCCTGGTCTGACTTTTTAAATATCAGTCACATGGTACTTAAATTGGTATGCACGTTCACTTTGACTTAAATTAATTTGATGTATTTCTGGTAGTTAAAATCGGTTTGGGAATCTACACTTGAATGTTGGACTTCGACAGTCCCTTCGTCACTTTCCTTCCAGCCTTTTGCCTCCCCTTCACCTGGATCATGACCCTGTCCATTCCCTTCCCTTTGGGAATCTACACTTGAATGTTGGACTTTGACAGTCCCTTCGTCACTGGCTCCCCTCCCTCCCGCAACTCCCTAGCCACGTGCAGCCTCTGCACCACTTTGACCTGGCTGGTGAACTTGCCCCAGGCCTTGATCAGTTGGTTGGTGCCTGTCTTGCTTGCCTTTGTCTCCGGCTCCAATGCCTACCTTAAAGGAGCATCAGCTCTGAAATTGTGGAAATGGGGGGGGGGGAGAGAGATAAGGCTGTGTTGCATTTGAGGGTTTGTCCTGTTCCCACCTGGACTTATACTGGCCTTTAAAAAAAAACTTTCCCAAGAGGGCTATTGACAGACTGACATGACAGGGGAAATTTAGGAGATAGCAGAGAGAAAAAGAGGATCAGAAAATGAAACTGACCAGAGAAATTTACAATACTGGGAGCTTCTCCACTTTGACAAGGAGGAGGGAGTGTTTTTCCCTGACTCCTAAATTTTTACTGTCATGTTAGACTATCAATATCCCCCTTGATTTTTTTTAAAAGTAAGGCAGCCAGCTATGGGAGGAAGCTGGCAGGAGGCAACAGATACAATTTATACTGGCAGAGGCATTCACATATGCCAAACCAATGAAATAAACAACCCTCTACCAAGCCAGTAAAATACCTCACTTCTGGGGAAAAATGATTCCTGGGTAAAAAGTCTGCACTTCAATTTGCTTCATGTAGCCAGGATTGTTAAACTCAATTTTATGTAAGAAAAACCTGATGCAACAGCTGTTCTGATTGCTAGTACAGCAAACCCTTCTTTGACTTTATGGTGCTTCACAGAATCTTCAAAGTACCAACACCACATTTCAGATGAGCCTGTTTTCTTCTTGTCAATTTTCTTCGCTCTTCAAGTTTCACATCCATACACAGCAACTGGAAATATCACAGTATGGATGATCTTGGCCTTAGTCTTCAGTGAAACATTCTTACATTTCATGATTTTTTGTAAGTTCCTTCCAAGTTTCATTCTTCTTATTCCTTGATTGCAGTTTCCATTTGGATTGATGGTTGAACCATGGTATTTGAAATTTTTAACTAATTAGATTCCTTCACTGTGAGTATTACAGTTACAGCATTCTTCTCGATTCATGATTTTCACTTCTTAATGTACAGCTATCAGTACATTAAATCTGATTTTGCACTTTCTTCTTTGATCATCCTCAGCAGTTGTTAGAAATACAGCATCATCTGCATATTGTAAATTATTGATGTATATGAATATGAAGATTCCGGCACAGTTGGCCAGCCTGATTACCTCGCATTCCTATCCCTAGACCCCACTGGACCATGCACAGCATCATTGTACCAATCCACAGCCACAGCCCTGCCTCCCTACTCACCCAGTCACTCCAGCAAGGGGACAGGAGAACAAGTCTCCCTGCTCAACCATGAAGTGGTTGGGTAAGCAGGGAGGCGGGGCTGCAGCGATCGAGGCGCAGAAGATAACGCTGGCCACGTGGAGACCATGCACAGCATCATTGTACCAATCCACAGCCACAGCCCTGCCTCCCTACTCACCCAGTCACTCCAGGAAGGGGACAGGAGAACAAGTCTCCCTGCTCAACCATGAAGTGGCTGGGTGAGCAGGGAGGCGGGGCTGCGGCAAATGAGCTACTGCCGTGATCGAGGCGCAGAAGATAACGCTGGCCACGTGGACCACACGGTAAGTGGTCCAGCAGGGTCTGGGGACGGGAGATAATCAGGCCAGCCACTTGTGTCATATACAAGTACAAAGACCCATCTCTAATCTTTGCCAATGAAAAATCATTATGGTTTTCCACAGTCTGTCCTGACACTCACCCCTTTTCCAGAGTATGGGTTATACATCAGGACAATCAAATGCTCTGACATGCTCAACTGTGAGGCAAATGCAATGAAACCATACATAATTCAGGTTACATTTCAAAAGCAAATATTTCAAGTCTTTATGATGGTGGAAAGGAAACACAAGAAGAAATGATTAGCCTCTAGAGCAGGGCTGGTCCTTTGGCACTCCAGATGTTTTGGAGTACTACTTCCATGGTCCTTTATCATTGGCAATACAGGTGAAGGATTTTGGGACATGAAGTTTAAAACATCTGGAGTGCTAAATGTTTACCACCCCTGCTCTAGACAGCTCTCTCTAAAAACTGGAGAGAGATTAAGCAAGACTTCCAGCTGCAAAGAGGCTGACCTTTGGCAGACGTTTGAGTCCTTCCATGATAGTTAGGAAAATAAATTACTCATTGCAGCTGAAGATACCCATATCGGTGGATAATTTTCCATTAAAGGGGAAGAAGAAAAATGGGAAAGGAGAGAGGTATTTTGACAAAACTAGTCAAGTGAGCTAATCTCAAACCCCATTCCCATCAAGGAAGATTCTCTTGGACCTACCTGAAAGATTTGTCTTGAACAGAATTGACCCCAGCGAAAGACTGACTCCTATTGATCCTGACCACCAGACTGTGCCGCTGGGGCCGCACTGAGAGTGACATTGTCGAGCTCCACTGGGAAGGTCTCCCTGCAAGAAGAGAACAGGCATCAGTGGGGTATCAAGGGATGCATGGCAAAGAACAAGGCATTGAGAAAGAGAGGCATCAAAGCTGCAGGAGACTGTCACATTTTGAACAAAACCTAAAGGAATAATATGAGTCATACATCTACATGAATAAATACATCTGATTAGAATGGTATGCAGCTCAAAACAGAGTATCAGTGAAGAACTGATGCACAGACCATAATGCCTCAGTAAACAAAAAAGTGAGATGGCAAAGTATGATACAATTAGAGGATCGCAGTCCTAGGGGTTAGCGGAACCAGGGTTCAAAGGGTCAAAGTTCTAGGGATTTTTGAGTAGCACAGAGTACAACATACTCATATAGTCATACAGACGATGGCATCTCACCCTACCCCATTGGCTCCCTTCATCTTTCTGAGCAATCCTCACAATAACTGGGGAAGAAATGTTTTCACAGGAATTCCACACTGCTGCAAGCTACTCGTGTTGTAATGCAAATTATTTGAGGGTAGTTTAGCGTTCAGTAGGTAATTATCAGCTATCATCTTCAAAAAAGGCCTGTTTGCCAGTCATTAATGTGCACTGATCCAACAGTCTGCATGTCTGGATTCTCCTTACTGCAGAGGAGCAGAGTGGGACTGTCATGATCAGTTTCTGCACTCTATTTTTCACTACACCAATGCAACTCTATCCTCAAAAGACACCATTTATTTAAAAGCAACTGAGACATTCAAAATATATGAATACTATAGAAGTGGCTTGCCAAGGTTTCGGGGAAAGATCTCTGGAGAGCCGAACCCCAAGTTGGCAGTGCCTCAACTGCTGGTCCTCCAGATGTTTTCAATTTTAACTCCAAGAAGCCCTCACCAGTATGATCCAGGAAGGGCCACAGGTTGAAAACCACTTTGAACCTGGAATTATCTGGACACAAAGCACGTACTATACCACTGAATATGACTTCCCCAAACGTTGCACAGCAGAAGGTGATGAAGGTAGATTCTCTTGTCTTGACATTTGGGTGCATCTTACCACCTCCTCATGACAGCCACTCTGCCAAGTGACACACTCACTTAAATTGATACCTGCACTTCCAAGCATTCAACATGGAGATTTACTGGAGGTCAAAAATAAAGCCAAAATGGAGAAGCCATGTGTGAAAAACTAAGTACTGTGTACACCCTTACTGCTTCCATTGGGAATTAAGGGGCTAAGTAGCAGACAGGTATGATCATCAGCAAGTGTGACCACCTGTATAAAAGCTGAAGTTTTAGCAGTTTGCTGGTCTGGAGCATTCAGATGTGTGTTAGGAAACACGTCAGCAGTGATTGTAGAGAAGCAACTGTTGCTGCCCATCAATCTGGGAAGGGTTATAAGGCCATTTCCAAACAATTTAAAACTCATCATTGTACAGTGAAGAAGATTATTCAAAAGTGGAAAACATTCAAGAAGTTGCCAATCTTCTCAGGAGGGGACATCCAAGCAAACTCACCCCAAGGTCAGACCGTGTAATGCTCGGAGAAATGGCAAAAAACTGAAGAGTTACATCTCAGACTCTACAGGCCTCAGTTAGCATTTTAAATGTTAAATTTCATGACAGTACAATTAGAAAAAGACTGAAGAAGTATGGTTGGTTTGGAATGGCTGCCAGGAGAAATACTCTTCTCTCTTAAAAAAACATGGCAGCACGGCTTAGGTTTGCAACAAACCACAGGACTTCTGGAACAATGTCCTTTGGATAGATGAGACCAAAGTGGAGGCCTCTGGCCATAATGGACAGCACCACATTTGGTGAAAACCAAACACAGCATATCAGCACAAACACCTTATATCAAACATGGTAGTGGAGGAGTGATGATTTGGGCTTGTTTTGCAGCCACAGGATCTGGGCACCTTGCAGTCATTGAGTCGACCTTGAACTCCTCTGGATAGCAAAGTATTCTAGAATCAAATGTGAGGCCATCTCTCTGACAGCTAAAGCTTGGCCAAAACTGGGTACAGTGATGCCTCACAAGACAAATGCCTTGTGCAACGAAAAACTCGCAAGACAAACGCGTTTTGCAATTTTTTTTTTGGTGACCCGCAAGATGAATTTTTCTATGGCTGTGCTTTGCAAGATGAATTTTTCCAATTCATTCCTATGGGAAATGCATTGATTCCGATGGGAAAATTTGCAAGACGAAATTTTCGCAATACAAAATGGCTCAGGAATGAATTATTTTTGTCTTGCGAGGCATCACTGTAATTCAACAGGACTATGATGCCAAGCACACCAGCAAGTCTACAACAGAATGGCTGAAAAAGAAAATAATCAAGGTGTTGCAGTGGCCCAGTCAAAGTCCAGACCGCAACCCGATCAAAATGCTGCAGCAGGACCTTAAGAGAGCTGTGCACAAACAAGTGCCTGCAAACCTCAATGAACTAAAGCAACCTTGTAAAGAGGAATGGGTGAAAATTCCTCCACAACAATGTGAGAGATTTATAGTTATGCAGAAAATGATTACTTCAAGTTATTGTTGTTAAAGATGGTGTTACAAGCTACTGAATTACAAGCTGTACTTAGTTTTTCACACATGGCTTCTCCAGTTTGGGTTTATTTTTGTAAAATAAATCATGACACGGTGTAATATGTCATGTGCTGTTGTTCAGCTGAGGTATTTACCTAATTTTCATATCTGCTAAGGACCAAATGATTTTTATTATGTCTTGATACATAAAACCATAGAATTCAAAAAGGGTGTACTTTCTTTTTCACATGACTGTACTGTCGTGCCCCGCTTCATGATTACCCTGTATAACGGCGAATCCGCTTCACGACGATGTTTTTGAGATCACAACTGTGATCGCAAAACAATGTTTTAATGGGGTTTTTTCGCTTAGCGACGATCGGTTCCCTGCTTTGGGAACCGATTCTTCACATTACGACGATCAAAACAGTTGATAGTCGGGTTTTCAAAATGGACACCGGCTGCTCAAAATGGCTCCCCACTGTTTTTAGGAGGCATTTTTCGCTTAACAGGCAACCGAAAATGGCCGCCATATGGAGGATCTTCGTTGGACGACAGGTATTCAGCCCACTGGAACGCACTGAATGTTTTTCAATGCATTTCAATGGGCTTTTTTATTTCACTTGACGATATTTTCGCTCTACAGCGATTTCGCTGGAACGAATTAACGTTGTCAAGTGAGGCACCACTGTATAGTGTCTTCCCTTGGTAACCAAGGTATTCTCTTTTAAGACAATCTGGCTTCCAGACTAGCCTTTTTCCCAATAAGGGGTCCCAAAATGGATCACAGTATTAAAAAGAATAGAATTAAAAACAGTGAAATACACATTAGATATATTGTTTAGATGGGCAGTATAACAATTGAATACAGTGGTGCCTTGCTAGACAGTTACCCCGCATGACAGTTTTTTTTTTTTGCTAGACATTGACTTTTTGCGATTGCTACAGCGATTCGCAAAACAGTGATTCCTATGGGTGAATTTCGCTGGACAGTGTTTGGTCCCTGCTTCACAAACTGATTTTCGCTAGACAAGGAGGGAGGCTGAGGAGCCTGACGCCAAGGGAGGCCCGGAAGGAAAAAAAACAAGGAACCGGGCCTTTTCGGCGGTGGCTCCTCGCCTCTGGAACAATCTGCCTCCAGAGATGCGTGCTGTATAGGCAGGCTTTCCCCCCAGTTAATTCCTGACCCTCTTCCCTTCTCTCTCTATTTGATTTATTTTTGTATTTCTGCTTTCCTATGGCCGATCTTCACTAGACAATGACGATTCTTCCCCATTGGAACGCATTAAACAGGTTTCAATGCATCCCAATAGGGAAATGTTTTTCGCTAGACAATGACGATTTGATTTCAGTAGAACGGATTATCATCGTCTAGCAGGGCACCACTATACATAAACAAATAAATAAAAGTAAATAATTTTAAAAATTCAATTAGGAAACTGATTAATATATATTGAATAACTTAGACAGGTAAAAGATTAGAAACATCTGAACTAAAAATGGCACTCAGGGACTCTGTCATGATTGTTAAAAACTTGCCTGAAAAAGTGGGTCTTCAGCTGTTTCATCGTCTAGCAGGGCACCACTATACATAAACAAATAAATAAAAGTAAATAATTTTAAAAATTCAATTAGGAAACTGATTAATATATATTGAATAACTTAGACAGGTAAAAGATTAGAAACATCTGAACTAAAAATGGCACTCAGGGACTCTGTCATGATTGTTAAAAACTTGCCTGAAAAAGTGGGTCTTCAGCTGTTGTCAGAAGGGTAAAAGGGAAGGGGCCAACCTGATCTCCTGACTGAGAGCCTCCCACAGTCTGGGAGCTGGCACAGAGAAGGCCCTGTCTCTCATGTCCCCATCAATCACGCCTGCACTGGCAATGCAACTGAGATTAGAGCCTCCTCTGATGATCTTAAGCACCAAGAAGGGTCACCACACCTGGCGCCCTCCAGTTGTTTTAAACAACAAAGCCCTAATGACTGGGTATTCTGGCTGGGTTCATAGGAGCTACAATAAATATCTGAAGTAAAGGGATGTCGCTAGAGATGAACTATTCTACCCACTAGCACAGTGGTCCCCAACCTTGGGCCTCCAGATGTTCTTGGACTACAACTCCAAGAAAGCTGGCCAGGATTTCTGGGAGTTGACGTCCAAGAACATCTGGAGGCTCAGGGTTGAGGACCACTGCACTAGCAGATGAAAACAGAACACAATTGGCTCTGGGGAAAGCAAAAACTCCTATTCTAGCAGTTTATCTTAATCAGCAATTTTTAGCTGAAGGCTTGTCTACACAGGCTCATTTGGAGCAGGCTGGTGTAGGCTAAATAGAGATGCTTAAAGCCAGATAGAGGTCTGGCATGCTATTTGGTGCAATCTTTACATTCAAATGACATACACATCTCCAGCAACTCTATTTGGTCTGGCTCCTTTGTCTTTCAATAGCCCATATCATGAAGCGGCTTAAGAAGATAGCCAAATCACGATATTGGTAA